ACAGCCTGGTCAGGGTCTTTATGCAATTCTACCATCAAGCAGTTGACATCAATGGATAGCCAGTCGAACTAACAGGTTTAAAGATAGTTTCTATCCTTGGGCTGTGAGACTTTTAAATACAACCACAATCACTCCATGCACGTTAGCTTTTTTTCTTTTTCTTTCTTTTTTTGTTTCTGTTAGAATTGTACACCAGTGAGATTAAAACCAATTTCGTTGTATTTAAGTACAATGACAATAAAGATTATACTATACTATACATTGCTGTACCAGGAGAGAAACCATAATGGTATATACCTTCTTCTCCAGTTATTTTTTCCATTTTGAGATAAAATGTTTAACTAATACATTACCCAGCCTACAAGGAAATATCAAGACTTAAACAAAATTTGAAGACAGCCAGTTATGTGGTTATGACATCAGTCTAGAAACCAGCAGACCATGAGTTATGGCCCTGCCTTAGGCATAAAACCAGCCTTTGGGCTTGGGTAACTTTGGGCCTGTCAATTTCTCTCAGCCATTGGAAGGCGGTAATGGCAAAGTATTTCAGAAAAAAAAACTTTTCCAAGTAAACTGCATTTGAACAATATTGCTTAGGAACAAACTCAATCTTTGAGATGTCGGAATAAATATCAACTTGAACTCCATAAAGGAACACACAAAACATTAAATATAAATTAATTTTACAGGCTACATTCACACAATACACTGAGCCACTAACTATTGAAGTGTGAGAATCCAACTATTGTATAGGTTGTTCTCGACTTATGACCACAATTGGGACTGGAACCTATTGCTAAGCAATACAGTTAAGTGAGTCATGCCTGATTTTAGGAACTTTTTTGCCATCATCATTAAGAAAATCTGGTATCCCCCACTGACTTTACTTGTTGCTCCCTGGGAAGCTTGCAAATGGTCACACACACACACACTGGACGCTGCAACTATTGTAAATACATGCCAGTTGCCAAATGGCTAAATTTTCATCATGTGACCACAGGGACACTGTGACAGTTTTAAGTTTGAGTACTGGTCGTAAGTCATTATTTTCAGCACCATCATAAATTGAAAGGTCATTAAATGAATGGTTGTAAATTGAGGACTATCTTTAAAGTTATGTTGTCCTCAAATTCCTTTTAATTTAAATGGCAGCCATCCAAAAAATGTCTTGTGTATGCTGCATGAGACCTAGGCACTAGAGTTTGAGTCACGGCTATTTACTGAAATCAACAGGTTGACAGATGCAAAAAGGCCGTATTATGTGGGAAGATGACATTAGTGGTTTGATGAGATAAGTAGTACAGCCTTCTATTGGCCTGAGAGGGGACAGTTTTTTGAAATTAGTATTTCTTGGCCCCAAATCTTGAACTGGATGCAATAAAAACTGACAGTATACTTATAGGACAGAGTATTTTGCCTGCTTCATTAACCACAAACATCTGTGGGCTTTCCTGGGCATTGAACACCTGACTGTATTGGCCCTTATTGACAAATTAGTTAANTTTAACATTTTCTAATGGTGGTGTGCCTCGTGATTTTTTTCATGAAAAAAGTGTGCCTTTGCACAAAAAAGGTTGAAAAACACTGTTCTAAAGCACGTTCTGGTTCTTACTCTATAAAATACTTAGCTGCCACAATTTTATCCTATGAAAACAGAATAGTACTATGACTCATGAAGGGACTGGCTTTCTTTTGAAAAACCACATTGCATCAAAAATTATTATAATAATGATTAATTATTCCCTGTAGGCATTTACCAATACCAAATCCCTGGGGATATAATCACATTATAAGTAGATTCTTTAATAAAATACCTTAATTGAAAACAGTTGCTTCACTAGACTTAAAAAGAATATAAAGTTAGAATATTGTGTGATAATACCCCCCAAAAAGTGAGTGCACTCACGCTGATATAAGCCCTGTAGCTCGCGCCCGTAAAGTTCTGTATTCCTGCCAGGAATCCATGTCAGCTCTTTGTGGCATGCAACCTTCTTCCCGTAAAACATGAGCCACCATGTCTTTATCTGCAATGGACACAACTAGTTTGGGACCAAAGTGAGACTTGAAAATTTTTCCATATTCCTGTACATGTTTCTGCTATGAAGGGGGGGAAAAGAATAAATTACTCATCCTTCCTGGCAATAGTGACATTTTTATACAGCACTGAATTCTACCATGCATTATGATAGCAAACTGCAATTAAAAATAACAGCAATAATTTTCAAAGGAATTATATTTATTTGCTGCTTGTGATTCCAAGATATTGCCTATATCTTCATTTCAAAGTTAGTCAGCTTCTCCTTCTAATAATAATTATCTTTTTTACTGTTTTATATGTTTGTCCATAGTCACTTTTTTGTAAGATGACCTTATAAATTTGATAAGTAAAATAAAATAAAATAAAATTTCTTAGTTCATAAGAACAAGTGGACTGACACATGCCTGATCACATAATCATGAGGGTGCTGCAATAGCTATAAATTTGGATAAAGGGTTATGTCTATTTTCCCAACATTGTCCTAACTTTGAATGGTCACTGAACAAATGGTTATAAGTTAAGGACTTCTTATACAGCAAATATGTGAAATATATGAATACATTACAGTGGCCAAGGCATTTATGATATGGGATTTTCTGCGGCCTTCCTTCTAGAGACATCTCTTTGGAGACATTGGTAAGAATTAAGCTATGCTCTATTTAATGCTCCATATCAAATATTTCTTATCTGAGTTTCATCCTGATGAAGTATCAGAAGGTATCCGCATGGTGCTCAAGAAACAACTTACATCTAAATACNACAGTCAGCTGAAGTGGCTTGCAGTACTGCACCCTAAACACTGCGCCACCTCGGCTCTTTTCTCTATTTAGATGTTAAGTTGTACCAATAAATTTGAAAAGATTGGTTACATTTGATTAGGCATCTTTTAAAATCACAAATATACAACCAAGCAAAGTTCTCTGCTAATTCAAAAATAGTTTTGGTCTATTTCATCATACAACACTTCCTAGTTTTGAAAACTGAGTCATTTTTTTCTTTTTTTGTATATTGCAGTTTTTAGACTTAAGAGGAAAGCTGTTGTTTCCTTTACAGAATTGTATCTATCCAGCCTATTTTCCCAGAAACTATTGTCTCATCTTGCCTCCTATCTCCTGAATTTGACAATTTCCTCCATTTGAAGCTCAACAGACAATTTGTTTGATTATCTCCTTTATCCCAGTTGCCACAGCAGCATCTAATTAATGTAGCGCAAAATGCTGACATGTTATCCTTCACCATTAGTTCCTGCGAGCAGTTAAATGGAGTGGAGGAAAGGTGGTTTGGCATCTTTGTAGCTTTTCCAATTAGGAATTGCTCAAAATATTTTTTCGACATGGCTAAGTAGTAAAAAAAAAGCTTGCTAACAGTTTTTCAAAGTATGTGAAATGAAATGTGGGGAATATAGTTAAAATATGAACATTCACATCTAATTAAATTTTGCTACTTTGACTCTGGTGCTCAGTTATCATCAGCTACATATTAAACAAATGGATTCAATATGTTTGGTTATTGTAGTCTTCGAAGAAATTTCTACCTATCAGATATCCTACTGAACCACAAGCAGCTTCTTGAATAAGGATATTGTTATGGATAATGCGGGGGGGGGGGGGGCAGTGCAAGAAAGTTAACAAAGAACAAAGCTCTCTAAAAAATATGGGCAGGCAAGACCTATAGCAACCATAGGTAAAACAGATAGAACCAGAAACCAACCCAAAGTAAGAAATAGTTTATCAAGTAGAAAACAAAACCTAGCTGAAATAGATTTGGGAGGATTTCCAGCTGAACTAGAATGAGGACTGTTATAAAAGGCTGGACCAGAAGTTGATTGGAAATATTGTATATATTTACCATCTGAAGCTGCAGTTTTTGCCATTTTCTCTCCTTGGGCAATTGCCTTTTGAGATTTTGGTGTAAGTGCATAAAAATGGTGAAACAAAACATATCTATTTCATGCTCAGTAAAGAGTAGGTTAACAATGGATTTCTTTGTGTACTGCCTTGTCATTTAGTTTAATGTGAATTATTCACTTATCCACAATCCCTATAAATTGTTATCTCACTAAGACAGAGATGAATAAACTCCCAATTGCTGACCACAGATGCATCTCCAGCAATCTCAAGATACCTGTTCTTGTTTGAGCTGAAAAGAAAGCAAATTGGAAGAGTAAGAACAGAATAGAGCTGGAAGGGACCTTGGAGGACTTATAGTCCAACCCTCTGCTCAAGCAGGAGATCCTATACCATTTCAGACAAGTGACTATCCAGTCTATTCTTAAAAACCTCCAGTGATGAAACACCCACACTGTCTGAAGGCAAGCTGTTCCACTGGTTAATTGTTCTGTTAGGAAGCTTCTCCTTAATTCCAGGTTGCTTCTCTCCTTGATTAGTTTCCATTTGTGGTTTCTTGACCTGCCTTCTGGTGCTTTGGAGAATAATTTGACCCCCTCTCCTTGGAGAGGAGTCCCTCAGTGGATAGTGAAAGAAAGACTAGGTGATTGAGATATTGTAATATCATATTTATGACTTATGGAGCCATCCATCTCACAGCAGTGATTCTGATATAGTCCTCAGTTAAAATTAACCAAGGATGAATTTTTTGTCCCCAATGTCATGTGACCACATCACTTAGCTATTGCAATCCTTGGCAGCCCCATTGCTGTCATTTACCAAATTTTACCAGTGAATAGTTGAGGTCCCAGCCCAATCCAAGCCATTGCTACCTTGTTCCCACCCAGCCACAAGCCTTATTAGTGTATGGGACTGCGTCGTCTTAAAATTCTCCCACCATCTCCATTATTGTGGCACTGCTGCCAGATACCCCCTGCCAAGCCCTACTTGTAGCACCATGTGCCATTACTGAGCCTTCTTACAACCTTTCTTTCTTCATGATGCAGCTGGGCTTCTCTTATATGGTAGCCAGTCTCTCCCTTCACCAAAGAAGCCCTATATGCAAAAAATGGCCCCTGCTGGAAGGGTGATTATTATTGGGATGTAAGGATGCAACTAGAAATGGTTTTATATACTTTTACATAATTACATTCCATTCTTGTTTATTAAATACCATTTTTTCCTCAGTGGCTAACCTCTATTTTATAGACCTCTGTAAAGTATAAGTGGGATAATTATGCTTGTTGAGAAATATGAGATCTTTAGCAAGAGTTGTGAAACACTGAGGCTATCATTGCCAGCAATGGGGATGTCAAAAGCAGCAAAATTAGGGGAGGGGTGGGGAGGAAGGGGGAAAGGAATCTATGTACACAAATGCTAGATGAGTGAAAACACCCTCGCTCCATGGCAACCAACTTGTCATGGAATGAGGGCGGGACTATAGAGCCAAATGTGAAAAAAATAATAGTAATGGAGCCAATGAGGAAAGCGGACGGTCGGGGAATCCTAACCCAGTCTCTCGAAATTCGACCCGTCTCCCACGCCAGCAATTGAATACAATATGAGGAAGGGGAATTGGAAGAAGGAACGGAAAAGATAGTAGGGGGCTTCGTGGTCCTAGCTCACTCCCCGCCCCCGCCTTGGAAGCGTCGCGTGAGGAGAATGTACCGTTGCTGGGGGGTTGGCACCGTTAGAACCTCGCGGGCGCGCGCGAGCGAAGCGGCTCCGTGGAGTGAGGCAAGCCGGCTGAAAAATGGGAGGGCTTCACAATGCCGGCCTTCTGCTAATGGTGCTGTTTACTGCTTAGCCGGCAGCTCATGCTGCTGCACTCTCTTCCCCGCTATATAAATCGTTCAAGTGAAACAATGTAGCAGGTATACAAAGAGCAGCAGATTTTAATAGCATGATATACCGAAGATCATAAGTCAGGAGCCAGAATAAGCTTAAAAGGACAAAATGGTCTCTTGCCTCGAGAGAAAGAGGGGGGTGGGTGGATGAAAAATCAGTGGAAATAGGTTGCTGTCGGCAAAGCCCTGCAATGCTACTTGCAACCAGATTGGAAAACCAACGGAGAGTATTTGGGTCAATTCAGTTCAATCTCAAGCGGAAAAGATGGTGCTGAAGTACTCTTGAGGCAACTAAAAAATCCCAAGTGTATATCTACTTGGAACTAACTCCTACTGAAATGGGTGCAGCTTTAAATTTATCCAAGCATTCATTTCCCCGCTCCCCTTTTTTTGCAGCTCAGCTGTAATTAAGGGAATATGCACATGTAAACAAGCTAATATTAATCTGACTACAATTTAAGGGCTGCAGATACCTTAAGTATAGAGGTTAACAGTCTCCTATTCTTCACCCCAACTTAAAACATATATTGCAGTGGAATGGCATTAGTTAATAAAATCAATCTAAAATATTTCTTCAGAATGAAAAACAAAACATCTTTCATTACAAGCAGACAATATGAAATCCAGAATAGCTGGTAGATGGAAAGCAGGAAATACTTAGTAGCAAAACTCTAGCATTAAGATGCCATGGCTATAGAGAGAAAACTTAAGTTAAACTTTAAGAATTGCTTTGTGCAATTAAAAGCAAATATAATCAATCTTAACAATGATTGCTTTTCATTAAATTGTACCTGGATTTCATGAATGCGGGCAAAACCATCCTTACAGAAAAATTCCATGAGATTGGAGAAAGTCTTGGGTCCTGGCATTTCTTTCAGGCTTTTCACTCTTCGGCGGCTTGGATGTTGGCTGGGTTTGAGAAGTCCCTTGGCTTCCTCTGAAGTTTCCACCATCTCCTCTTCTTTGTCCTCTGTTGCTGCAGCTGCAGCTGCATTATTTTGCATCTCCAAGGAAGTGCTGCCTGAAAGTTTGGGCAGCTGGTGAAACTTATTGCCAAAAACAACACTATAAATATAGTTCCTTTGAGTTTCAATCACCTGTTTGCAATCCATTTTCAAAGCTTTGGAGAGAAACGACATTTTCTTTTAAATTAGACAAAACTTTTGCTAACCCTCACAAACTGATTTTCATTTAGACTGAGCTTCTCTGTTTGATTTCTAGTCAAGCAGCGCTTCTCCAAACTCACTGCCTGAGCATCAGTTTACACAGGCCATTATTAAAAACTCCCTCCCCGGAGGCTGAAAAAGGCGGGGTGGTCTGAGACTTCAAGAGAGAAAGCCGATGATGTATTTTGTTTCATTTAGGTCGGATAAGTGCCATACTTAAATACATTATTCTACTTTACATTGGTTTGGCAAAAGAAATTGAGTTACGTGTCTATTTTTTTCAGTTTACTTGGTTTTTGTGTGTCAGTTAATATTAAAATAGAACATTTTAAAACTGTGTAGCTGCATTACAGAAAAGGCACAAAAAGTCATATTTCAATGATATTCATCAGGGCTTAGATAATTTTGTAATTCATGTTTCATATTAAATAAGACAATACTGTATCTTGAAGCGAACATGCCTTGTCCTCTGGAACAACTAATTTTTAATGTAATTTTGATTTTGTTCATGCCATGTTTTAATCTTTATTATAGTTGGATATTTAAAAGATTAAATAAAAAATAACTATGAAGAGAGACAGTTTTACCCTGTCACAATGTTTGCATGCATTTCTCAGAAAACTCACTTAAGATTATCACTCCATTTGCAGAATGAATTCTGACGTATAAAAATATAATTCTAATTTCCTTTAAATGGGCAAATTGACCCCAAAGGAAAAAAGCTGTCATCCTCGAGTGGGATCTATTGCTTGATCGCAATCCCATTTGCTAATAAAGGGATTCTATTTGTGGACATGGTAATATCCAATCCAAAATTCTGCAAACATTAAGGATTTCATAAGAAACTACCTTGCAAATACAATTAAGTCATTTTTTTCAATACTGTTGTAACTTCAAATGACCACTAAACAAATTATTATAAGTCGAAGACTAACTCTATAGACTTTTTGTTAATTTATTTTATTAGGATTAATCTAAGTGAAGTTCATTCTAAATTTATTCTAATTCAGGAAATGTATTGAGCTCAAATTTCTAGAGTATGTCCACTTTGATATTTCAAATAGTTATTAAATCACACAGGACAAATTGGAATAATGTGTGACATAAGTCAATGAACAACATTCATTTCCTGAGATTACATTCTAGATGTGGGCTAATAGAAGACAAATCATTCAGCTACTGTATCTTCAAAAAATGAATATAATTATTAGCTCCTTTAGAATTGGGCTTTACTCTTGCACCTAGTTTTGTATATATATCCACTGCAGTTACCAAAGTATTTCAATCCCATCTCCAATGGAAAAAATCAAATAATTGGTCTAGACTTCAAAATGGGAATATTTTAAAACTAGTTTATGCCACTATCCCCCATTCTATTTTGTAATCACATAGAATCAGCAAAACCAGCAAATCAGTAAAACTATAAAACCATTGTACCAACCGATAATTAAAACCATTAGGTTTTAAATGTTCTGCAGAAATCCATTTTCAAGATCTTTCTGGAGGGTTAGGTTAGTAAGGTAAAATACTGCTTCAAGTGCCTTCTCTCTGTCTCATAAATGTTGGACATACTAAGCCTCCCCACCTAGGATAATGTGTACTGGAAGGGGTCAATACCATCTGGAGCTCATCCTGAATTTATTTACTAGCAAAACATGTAGGACTTGAAGAATTAAAAACCAGCAATTTTGAGTTCCACTTAAAGCATATACAGTACAGCTCTGCCCACTTGTATTTATGACTGAAAAGTATTCTGCACCTACTGCAGCTTCTGAAGTTTTCAAAGGTAATCTTGTCTAAAACAGACTGCAGTAATTATTTTAGTGATTGTGATTACTGTTTTCGAACCTGTTTGTTAAAACATATTTAGATACACTGCAGATAATTACCATAACATAACAATATGGCAATGCTCATAATACATTTGCTGGAAGTCCTTTTACTTCTAATAGATTTGTATTCGATATAAATCCAGAAGGTATACTATCTTTGTTCTCTGTAACCTCATAATGGTTTCTCAGTTTAGGTCTCACCTTTTCAATCGCTATTAAGGCACAAGTCTTTGAAATCAACAGGAGTGGTGTGTGAGTAATGATTGTTGGACAGCAGCTTTTGTAATTGCTTTCTCTCTCTTTGAACTCAACACTTATCAAAGGTTGTTTTTTTTTAAAGCGCTTGGTAATTGTTATTATAGGGTTTTACTTTACTAAGACTGATCACATCCCAAGCTGCCTCTCACTAAAGCAAAAGGTAAGGGAAAATTTAATTTGTTTTACTTGATGATGTTAGCTTGACTTGTAGTGACAGTCATTCTTTATGTTTGTCTTTGTGCCTTTTTCTGACAGCTGGGTAACTTTCAATTTAATTACTTCTGTTGTATGCATATTTACCAAACACCACCTAGGGAGAATATGTCAAATGAACTCAACAGTCATGTCAAAATGACATCTTGTCCTTTGACATTTTCTAATTAAGAAAAGGAAGTACACATTTTTAATATGAGATCATGGGAGTTATGCAGTGATGAATTTAAAAGTTTAAAGTAAGCTGGAATGCTAAAATTTGTACAGCATATATAGTGTGTAGTACACTGCATAATTTTTATCTATTACTGTATAAGAACATAGTGATAATGAATGAATCCTAAGCCTAGTACAACTATCTGAATTTTTTATGAAAGATGAAGTCAAGTATCCTTAGCAGAAATCTGTATATGGTTCAATATTTCTACTCTTTTTTCATCAGTAGTCTTTGCAACAAATTTCCAATGACATTTCCTCAGCTTTATACTTTTCCCACATCCCAGCCCCAACAGCCCGGCTAAACCACTATAAAGTATTTAAGATACCAGAATAAAATCAGGGATAGGGTGATGAGAATCTTTTAATATAGAGTGTTTTTATTCAGTGCTTTCAGGTATTTGCACCCTTATGATCATCTTACTACAAATATAAATATAAAACACATTCAAATATTCTTAAGAATCTCTGAAACTGTTAAATAAAAATAAAGTTAATAGTATTCCAAGAATATAGAATACTGAAATAATTATCTTCAGTTGTGAGCAAATTGCTTATTCCATTTCCTTAATTATGAAATAATATGAAATTTTAACATTTTTATAGCTATAATGCATTTTCCTGATATTATTTCCTAAAGCGTTTAAAGAGTGGGTGAATATGTTTATTTGAAGATGCCTTGCTTCGTGAGGATTGATATTCCATGTAAACTGTATCATCTGCTCCAGACATAGAACTCATTGTGCCGTAATGTCGAGATATCTAGAAAAGAAGAACATAAAATTTTAATTTTATTTACTTATTTAAAGAATTTACATAGCCACCCATCTTTCAATCAACTCAACCAACTCTTGGATGCTCTCAATCAAAAATTAAAATCCATATAAAAAGAATTAAAAGACATAAAAAGAGTTTTCAAATAATTTTAAAGGACATTATACCTTCTTTATAAATAAAACTACAGCCTTTTTCATGCAAAAATTCATGTGACACTGAATTATTTACATTTAAACAGCCACTCACATCTAAGTACCTTCGCAAAAAAGTCACATATATGTGATTGGAGCACGAGCAGCTAGAATAAATCACAGGATTTGAAAAAAATCCATTCCTAAACAACCAAATTAGTAATTTAAATTATGAAATGGAAAAGTTCCTTAAGTGCAAGAGAGGGCTAGTGATAAACACAGGCTGAAAGAAGGGGAGGAAATTCTACATTTTTTTTCTTAGTATGCTGATTTCCATGTTATTTTGGAAGACTTCAGGGGGAACTTTTGTATGGTCTAGAGTAATTAAACAATTCAGGTTACAAAAATGAAATTAAGCTGAATTTAAGCTGCTATGGGCGGGTGGCATTTCTCAATGCTGTCCCCCAAGTGTACCTTTTTACATTCTCTATTAACTGGAAGACCTTCCATAAACTGCAAAGTGTAAAACAAACATAAATAACTATGATGTTCATTGGTGTGCTATGCTGATAACACTATTCTGATAACTGAAAAAACAAGAATCTCAAGCTGTAGTAGTGATAATTAAGGAGCACAATGAAAAAAATGGAACTAAGATTAAGAAAACCAAACTAATGCTATCAGGTACAACAACTGACATGAAATGGCAGACAGCTTTTGTCGTTTAGACTCAATCAATAATAAAGACTTAATCAGTCAAGAAATATGTCACAGACTACTAGCACTTGGAAAAGATATTCATATTCTGTGATATACCTATACCAACAAAGATCAGAGTCTTACAAGCTATAGTATTACCTGTGAAGCTCTACAGAAGCAAAAGTTGGATTTTAAAAGAAACCTTAACCCTCAACCACTGAGTGAGGTGGTTAAGCAACTGCCCATGTGATTGCTTTGTTCAAGAACAACAATCCTGGCACTCCAGGTTGCAATCTCCCAGGTCATTAAGCAGATCAAGGAAAATAACTACTCTGAAGAACTACTCCAGCTCTGCATGGAATTGAGGCAGGTAACTCTCTCGTTTTCAAATGTTCCTGCAGCCTGCCAAAGGATTCTCCATGCACAGGGGAAATCCTTCAGTGAGCTGAAGAAATAGAATTGAAATTCTGAAGATTTTAGCTTCTTTCCTGCACCCCATGGAATTCTTTCAGCTCCCCTCTATCGTCTCTGCTTATAACCTCCTCTGATGACTTCCACCACTGGCTTTCTGGGGAAACAGGCAGGGAAGTCTGCAAGTATCATTCATATGATTGTGGGGCAACCAGCTGTAAATGTGAGCCAGTGGCCAAGCACCTGAAAAGCAGTCATGTCACCTGTGGGTGGGGGAGACATTTTACAATGTCCAGAAGTGTTTCATGGGCTGTAAAGCACCCATTCCAAAGCTGTCATAAGTCAAGGATCACCTGTACAGTGGTGTTGGGTACACTATCAGAAAACCTGAAGGACTATGGGGATTAATACCATTGTAGCAGACAGGGAAAAGTCCTAGGCTATAAGCCAAAACATTTCCTTGAGTGATAAATGTAAAATTGTAAAGAGATTATTTTCCTGTTATATAAAATGTTCTTAATTGTGTCATTTAAATGATGCCCAACTTACACAACTGACTCTGGGATCTTGATATAATAACTACTTGCCTGAGATGACTTGGAACCATATTCTCCTGCAACCACCTCTTCCTCAGCATCCAGGTCAGAAGCTTGTAAAACCTTTTGGAGGAGCTGCTGCTGCTCTTCTTTGGATGAAAACATAAGTTCTTCCTCTTCCATACCTGCAAGTTTAGTAATTACCTGGAAACAGGAAAGACAATATTATTCTATTTGATTCTTTACCATTGTTTGGTCTCAAGGGCAAAGTGCCTATACAGAGTCTTATTTGGGAAATTTTAAAAGTTGAGAAAGATTTTAGTGGAAAACTAGCTCATACTGCATATGCTTCTAGGGCATGATTCATACTATCAGTTGTTCAAATGCTGCAGCACACTAGTCTCCAGTGCACTGCTCGGAGAGTCCAATAGTGGGTTAACACAGCCTATCTGCCCTTGGACTGAGTGATGTTTTTCTGTTGACCACGCCTCCCTTNAAGTAGATGGATCTTAGGCATTTTTACACACTTTCATAGAATAATTTCCAATCAAGAAGCTATGGGCCCAGGATAAAGTACCAAGATTTTGAAGAAGCAAATTAAAAAAAACTGCAGACCTCCCAAAAAGGGCCATTGAAAACGGGCCTGTTTTTTGTCAAAAAAAAGAGGCACAAATGGCCTTTAGGAGGCTATCCTATAAGCCTCCTACAGGGGAGGGGCAAAACTGAGCAAACCTCAGCTCGTTATTCACTCATTACTGCCCTCCCCAACCCCCAGGAGCACTCTAAAAGCTTCCTAGATGCTATGCAAGGCCATTTTGGTGAAGGGGGTGGGGTTTGGGGAGGCAAAAAATGCTGTATTCAGTGTATAAGACACACCCAGATTTTCAGCCTCTTTTTTGAGTGAAAAAGGTGCATTGTATATGCCAAAAAATACGGGTATCTGAAAATTAAGAATGAAATTACAGTCGTCTCCAGTTAAACAGCCGGAATAGTAGACCTGAGTTTAGAAATGGCATAACAATTTAAGTACTTTCCAACTGAAGTGTGACCATTCACAATGGATTATTGAAAGTTAACTTATGAAGCTTCTGAAGATAGAATGTAAACTCTAAAGTGACAAGCTTTCCATTGGTTTTTTGTTTGATATTTATGAGATGCTACAAAGGGGTTATGCGTATTGAAGCGCCTTTGCAATGCGGGCTGAAAGTGGCTATATATAAGAATAAAAAAGACCAAGGGATGAGATAATTATTGCACAGCAATCCTAATACTTGAATTTTATTCCACTCTTGTTGTATCAAATCTATTACAAATTGTAGGTTGCCTTTCTTAATCAAGAAACAGGATAGTCAGTGCCAAGCATCAAAGTGTTGATTTAATAAGCATTTTTAAAAAATATATATCTGTAGGTTATACAGATATATTGATAATACAGGTTTATTTACCCATTTATCAAATTTTGACCCCCAAAAAATCATGTAAGATTCTTGGAAATAATTTCAGTTATTCAAGAAACAAAGCAAGAATCATTCCCCTCCATATCTGAAGCAGAAATAGACGAAACTATTAGTAATACACCTACAATCCTGATCAGCTGATAATTTAGATTCATCAATGGATGAGGATTCTAGGTGTATTCCTAATCTTAGTTCAGATCCATGACCAAGGGTTTCTGTCACATTCTCCAAAGCCATGATGACTAACTATGGCCCGCGTCTCACAGGTAGCACACAGTACCATTTCTGAGGGCACACAAGATGTTGCCCTGTCAGCTATTTTTGGCCATTTTTCGCTCTTCAGAGGCTTTCCCAGGCTCCTAGAAAGCCTCCGCAGGCTCCAAAAAAGCCATGCATGCATGCACGGGGAAGCGGGGGGGGGGTCACGCGCACATGCGCACGGGGCACAACACATGGGGAGCATTAAATTATGGGGGTTGGCATGTGAGTGTGCGCACGTGCTTTTGGCACCCAAGGCAAAAAAATTATATAAATTATTTGAAGAATTGAAACTTGGCTAAACCGGAGTAGTTTAAAAATTACTTATTTTAGGCACTTATCTGCTTACCTCTTAACAACACTAATTATTTGGGATATTATATGCTAGACATTTGTATTGGAGAGTACTAGATTGACCAAAAAGTAAATATCTTTGCCAAGGAATAAGATAGAATTGTTTGGGGTACAAAAGCTACAGAATAGTAGAACAGTTCAGAGTTCTCCAGTGCACTGCTCGGAGAGTCCAAGCGTGGGTTAACCCAGCCTATCTGCCCTTGGACTGAGTGATGTTTTTCTGTTGACCACGCCTCCCTTTACCTCTGCATACTCAGTTTGAAAACTCAGTCCGCCCGTAGGGACTGTTTTGGGAGTGCTCCAGTCCAAGGTCAGATGGGCTAGAGAATTTTCCCACTTTGGACCACCGTTATACCTTTTTATTTGGATGATTTATTTGCTAATGTGCATGTTGGATTGCAGCTGAGATGCCATCCGGGCTTCCCCTGACTCCGCTGGTCGCAGGCACCTCAGGGGACTGTCAGCCGCTTGTCCAGCGGCCGCTGGCGAGCGATGGGGGCAGTGGGAGACTCGCAGGTCACCAGCCAAGCTCCCAGCCCCAACCGTTACTCAGGGAGGCCTTGCAGGCACTTTCGCAACAGGCCCGGGCGGTTTGCATTCTGCCCGACAACAGCGGCAACGGTTGGCTGTTTCACACGCTTTTCTCCTCAGGCCAGCTGAAAAGAGCAGGAGGTGGCTGCACGTGCAGCCGCCGCCATTTTGAATCACTCCAGAGCGTGATTTTGAGGTGAGGAGTTTGTTTGCTCGTGGGAGAGCAAAGAGTGGCTGAGACCTAAGGAGAGCTTTGTTTCAGCCTTCAGCGACTGCAGACCGCCACAGGGAGGCTCGGGCCTGATCCGGGGAGCCGGCTGACCTTCTCCTCCACAGAAGCTAAGTCTCAGGGATCCGAGGGCGGTGGGAGAAGGAACCCTACCAACAGGCGGCCCTTCCCTTCCGAAGAGTCTGCAAGGCGTCCTTTGAGCCGTGAGGCCAACGCGTGAGCCCATCCCAGCATCAGCTAGATCCCAGGCCCCGTGGTGTCCTGAGCATGGCGGAGGAATTCAGGGAGGCCTTAGTGGAGCAAGCAGGGCCCTCCAGCAAGCGCAGCAAGCTGGATCTCTCAGCTAAAAAAGGCAAAGGGCACAAAGGCTCTAGTGATAGGCCTTCTCCAGGGACTGCAAGAGCCACTGTGGAACTCAGGGAGGTGTCTAGACTCAGCAGGTGGCAGAACCTACCCCCACCCATCACAGCAGGGATATCTCCCCCCCTGGTAGGGAGGCCCAATCCCCTGGGGACAGTGAGTTTCTTTCGGGGGAAGAATGTGGGTCCAGGGATCCCTCTCCAGAAGCTTCATGGGGTTACCCTGACTCCCCTAGCTCTTCCATCGGGGGGGGGGGAACATGATTCCATCCAGGACTCCCTGCGTGAAGAAGGTAAGTCCAGCTCTGGAAGAGCTGACCAACGCAGGCCTAGCAAGCAATGCCCAAAGAAGGGTAAAAGTCCTGCTCTTTCAGCTGAGATGAGGGAGGTGATATTCTTGGCCATTTCCCAAGGGGTAGCTGAAGGAATCAAGCATAGGGGTTCACACAAGCCCAAGGCTTCCAAGCAGAAGCGTAAACCCAAGCCTCCCACTTCTAAAGAGCCTCCTTCCACTACTGGCTCATCCAGTTCCTCTCATTCTGATTCTTCCAGCTCTGAGCAGGAGGGGGGGGAAGCATTCGTTCTGTCTCAAGACGAAGATCTTCCCCCTGACAAGCCGGCCTTCACTGGCCTTTTCAAGCTGTCATTATTTAAATCAATCCTGCACAAAGCTATGACGGCTACGGAACTAGGCCCCACTTCTAAACCTGAGGCTGCACAGGCTTCTACATCCAAAGATCACAAACATGGGCTGTTTAAAGAAACAGTCTCAGCTCCTGAAGTCATCCCTGTGCCTGACCTCTTTATGGATGTGGTTCAGTGCCAGTGGCTACAGCCAGACATGCTGACCAACCCCAGTGGGGGTGACAGGTCCCTCTATGCCCTGGAGGGGAAGATGGAGGACATCCTGAAGTTCCCAGAAGTGGACGCCCTGGTAGTGTCTCTAACTTCCAACTCAAACCTACCGGCTGATCTCCTAGAGGGACTGAAGGTGGAGGACAAGAGGTTGGAAAAGGCGTGCCATAAAACTCATATGGTTTCCGCCTGGGCCATTAAGGCCTCCACCTCGGCCTCATTCTTTATCAGGGCTACCTTATTTTGGTTGCGGCAGTTCAGATCTAAGCCGCCCCCCAAGAAGTCCAGATGACGCCATGAGCTCACTAAAATAATTACTACTGTTGAGTACTCGGCAGATGCCTCTCTGACAGCTGCGAAATTCGCATCAAGGGCCCTCGCCTCCAATATTACTTCTCACAGTCTCCTGTGGCCTTGGCATTGGCAAGCCAAAATGAAAACCAAATGGAAACTGGCATCGGCTCCCTTCAAGGGAGGCCTTTTGTTCGGAGATGCCCTGGACAAGTTGGTCACCGAGACCAAAGACAAACGTAAAATCCTTCCCGCGACTCTTAAGAGGGGCGAACGTAAGGGGTCAGGGTCCTTTCGCAAGCGATCTTTCAGGAATCAGGATTCTGGGCAATCTTCTCAACCTTCCTCCTACCAGAGACCTTTCCAGTCAGGGGGGGACAGACAGCAGGACAGATCCTCCTTCAGATCTCATGCTAATCACTTCCAGTCTTCCTTTCGGAAGCCAATCCGAGGAGGTGGAAATAATAGTGGCAACTCCCACCCCTTTCGTAAAGGGAAGTGACGGTCGCAGAGATCCTCCCATCGGGGGTCGGCTGCGGCTGTATGCCGACAGGTGGGAGGAGATAACATCGGACAAGTGGGTCCTCAACACCATTCGGAAGGGCCTTGTCCTGGACTTCCTAGCCTTCCCTCAGAGGAAGTTCCTTCATTGCCCCACTCCCAGGGACCCCGAAAAGAGGGATCGCATGAGGGCAGAAATTCGCCACCTCCTTCAGATAGAGGCGATAGAACCAGTCCCCAGGGATTAGCAGGGGAGGGGCTTCTACTCTATCCTCTTCTTGGTACCGAAGAGCTCAGGGGGGTGGAGGGCCATCTTGGACCTCAAGTGCCTGAATCAACATCTGGCTTACACAGGGACGTGCAGTCACTACAGGCAGGGGAGGCGGGGCCTCACCAGTCTCCTGAGG